TGCTATGCCTATTTCCCCATAGTCTCGTTCAACCAGACTCTTGTTGCCTGCGCAAGCTACGCCGAATAGAGAGTCTGGTCAAACACAGTGCTTTCGTTTTGTGACATCATAACGAGGCTTACCGAGATTCTGGTAAAAATTTTCATTGGTCAAAGGTTGACACACCCTTTTTAACTTTTGAAGTCAGAATTTGAGTGGCCCAAAATTACATTAAATATTTTAATTCATTAAAACATTACCTGTATATGCATTCCTGAAGTATCCATGTTTTCACTATTAACGAGAAAAATGTAAGAAAATGCTTCAAAAAGAACGATTTCATGTATTTTCATTGGTTATTTTATAATAATTCATGAAGCTAACAAGGCTATTGATACAAGCCAGATTACCTGAGTGAGAACTTGAAGGTGTTTTGAATGGTGCACATTGTACAGGTAAAATCTCACTTGCTCTGCATGCTTTTTTCAAACTTCAGTCAGCCTTGTTGGCTTCGTGCTTAGTTATGATTCATTCAATGGAAATAGATGGCATTATTTTGGAGATTTGACACATTTTCTTACATTGTTCTCGATAAAAGTGAATACACGGGTACTTCAGGAATGCATGTATAGGTAACTTTTTTCATTAATTTCATTATTCATTGAAATGTTTAATGGCATATATATTTGGTTTTATGTCTATTCTATTGATTTTCGCTGCTAGAAATTATTTATTCATTAATATTTTTTTTCCGTTTTGATAAATGCCGACTTCGGGAAATATGGGCAGATTTCCGCCATGGCTCTTTACGAAATAAAATATGGTTTATACTAACATTTGTATAACCCGTATTTTGGTCAAATCATTTTATATTGAACTGATTATTATTTCATATTATTGTTCATTTTCTTTGTACAGATAGAATTGTTTTATCTTTTCCTTTGCGTTTTGGTTCATATAACTGTATTAGTCACGAAATATTATAAATCTAATTAGTTTCATCGTGGATCCTTGGAATGCTGATACTATAAAATGCTGAATGGTTCATGACACAACATCGTGTCGTTGTGACTTGAAATAAATGATAATATAGTTTGTTCGTGGTCCTCCATCCTCGGTCCCAGGTGAAAATCGCACTTACGCCAATTATGTTCACCTGGGAACGAGGATATGGTCCTCTTGAAGTGAATAGAACACCGTGAGCTAATACCCCATTCATAATGTAACATATGTCATTGTGTGTCAGTGTCTCCGCTAGGAATCACTCGGGACCTCTGGCTTACTAATCTATCGAATGAGCAGAAGAGAAATTCTCCCTAGCCGAGTCGGTAGGAAGCGGGTTTTCTTTTACCAGGGTGATAATAACATACGAATTCTTTCCGTAACGATTGCATTAACGGACGCTATTTATTAGAAGTATAAAGTACCAAATGAGATGCTTAACTTCGTCTTACTACAGGGACTTATAATTTTGATATTCACGTTTAGACAAAAATCTGAAAACAGCACAGACACAGGAGTCAAAACAACATCAGAAATGACAGGGAAAATATATAAAAAGACAGGGCATATATACAATAAAAAAAATAAGCAGTCACGTGAAAAGGCAAGAAAATCAATGGGAAAATATATATAAAGCTACGCCATATTAGCGATACAATCACGCAGGAAAGATAACACAACCAAAACCTCAAATGGCAGTAGCTAATTTGTGTAATTTCTTTGTTTCGTCTTTTCGGAAACTTTCTGTCTCGTTCTTTCGTCTTTTCGACTATAAAAGATGACACAGCGAGAATGAAAGATTGCTTGTTATTGGGGCTTTTCGGTGCGAAAGGTGGAATAACGAAACTGCACAAATCAGCTACCGTAGTAAATAAACCAATGCATCAGCTCAAACGTAGGGAAAATAGCAGAATACAAAAGAAAAACACATCAACAAAAATGACAAAACAAACAATAAAAAGCAAAAAACAATGCATTATTTTAACATGAATACATGACATGCAAAACAATTTGACTATTCTAGTGCAACACAAGAATACCTGACAAATCTGAACACGCCGCTAACACAGATTAGAGAAGCAATAATGGTGGTGTATGTTCTCTTCATTTGTATCAAAAGAAGCCCACTGAAAAACTTGTGATCAATGGGGAAATAGTTAAAAAAAATTACCACGCAGTACTACAATGTACGTACATGTAAGAGATTGACACGCCTATTTTTCGATGTATTTTGACCATCTATGAAAGCAATTTAGTTTGTATTTTCAGCATTATAATGTCAGCCAGTATCTTCTTGCTGTGATAGCGGTTATAATTCGCTGTATTACATTTTGTAGTTCTGAGCAAGAGTCGAATGTGTGCGTTCCTGGAACATTTCTATATTTCGTCCTTTGACTTTGAATACGCGATAGACACGTGATATGTAAATGTTTTTGATTAACTGCTGGGTTAAAATAGGACTCAGTATCACATTTTCTTTGTATCCCGCTGTTAACATTTCACGGAAAATATTGTCCAAACGATCTACTAAAAAGCTTATTTAAATATTCATTTCTACGTAAATTCCAAAGGAATTATTGTGATAATGTTTGGGCCAGATCAATATGGCTTGTTTCAATATTTCAAAAATATAAAATACACAACCTATTTATTTTAGACATGAAAACCGGAAATAGGATTCCACTGTGGATTTTTTTTACAGAATCATATAGCTGTGTAAGATATATCCTAGATACATACATTCGTGCAGTGGTTAAATTGTTATTCTATGTTGGGGAAAATTGTCTAAGCTTTATGAAAGAGAGGTCGTAATATCTGTTACTTTAATTATTATCAATTATTGTTCTTGAGGCAAGAATTGGAAATTAATTCATTTTGTTTACCAAGATTTTCAAGATTTTTATTTCACTCAGACACACATAATGTGTGTAACAAGAGGTCATGTATATATAACATAGTTTGAGTGCATGACAGGCAAACATTCTATACCATAGCATAGTACATAAAAAATATATATACGTGTAGTTACATACAAATAATTCAGTGTTCAACTTATAAAAATGTCACTAGCAAACAAAAGAAAAACTTAAAGAATAGAGACACTAAAGTACTTTTGTTAATTTTTGAACAAATAAGCTTACACTTTTTAACAATTTCATATTAAAGATTGTGAACATTCCTTTCATTTTATGTTGGTTTGGACTTGTATAAAAATAGGCCGGAATATGTTTTTCCCTTATTTTGACTAAAGTGTCGTTATTACAAGTATATAAGTAATGATACTCGTCCCCAATACCAGTATTACAAAGTGGGCATATTCTGTCCTGTCTTTGAATTCCCACCCATCTTCCTTTTTCTACTGGAAGCTTAATATTTGAAGTTCTAAATTTGCAGAAAATTTTCCTATCTTTTGCGTTTAATCTGATCAAATAGTCTTCTAAACCGAAGTGATATTTAAATGTAGAGTATAATCGTCCTCTGGATGAGGTGTCAATTTTATTAAACCAGGATTGAATAAACTGATCGTGTAATTTATGTATGATTGCAGCTTTTAAATAAGTAATATCGGGCAGACAGGTTTTTTGATGGATCCAAACATAGCTTAGACCTACGCTATCCAGGATATGTTTAACATAGTTCAACCATTTAAACTCGATTTGTCCATTTTCATGTAATGAGTACATCAATTTGTACATTCGACTAGACAACTTATTTTCACTCGAGGTAAGTGTATACCAAAATTTAATCATTCTTAATTTGACATCAACCTCAATAGGGTATCTGCCCGTTTCTCCATATACCATAAAATTACAAGTATTTCTGCGTAGACCAAGAATTCGTTTACAGAATTGGAGGTGTATTTTTTCAAGTATACTAACATCCTCATGGCCCCATATTTCTGATGAGTATAGCAAAATTGGAGCAACTAGCGAGTCAAACAATTTGAATTGTAAATCAATGGGTAACGAAACATTTCTTATTTTCTTATATACGGCATATAGTGCTTTTTGGGCCTGTTCCGCTAATTGCTTTTTTGCCACTACAAACCTTCCATTATAGTAAAATAGAACACCTAAGTATGGAAAAGAATCTTGAATGTCTAGCTCATTATCCTGTAATAGAAATCGATATCTGTTAGTATTCTTTAGTTTAGAAAAGATGACAATTTTGTCTTCTGTGTGTTTACCGTTAGTTTCCAATTCTCACAATAATCCTGAAATTTATTTAGCATTGATTGTAGACCATCTGCTGTCTCTGACATTAACACTGTATCGTCAGCATATAAAATAACAAAAAGCTTTACGTACATACCAATATAATCATGACAAAGTTCATCAATCTTTAGTAAACAATCGACATTTTTTCCAATAAATAGTCTTCTAAATCATTTAAAAATAATGCAAATAAAAAAGGCGAGCAATTCTCACCTTGTTTTAGTCCGACATTTGAAGTGAACATTTCTGACATTTCGTTCCCATTTCTCACACAAGATTTCGTATCAGAATACATGATAATTAAAACTTTAAATATTTTACCAGTTATGTTACATTTGAGTAGTTTTTGCCACAAGCCTATTCGCCACACCGAATCGAAGGCTTTTCTAAAGTCAACGAATGCACAATATAGTTTTCTACCGGAGGATAAATATAACGTTGTCAAAACGTGTAAAATAAAAATGTTGTCTAGTGTTGAGTGACCTTTACCAATACCACTCGATAAAGAGAATGATTTCCCGTCATAAGTGTCTTCGTGTACGATAAACAAAAGAGGGTCGGTATGTTACACCGTCAAGCCCTGCAGCTAGCACGTCACTAGCTTTAATTGATGCGTGTCCAACCCTGCAGACGAACGTAAAGCATATATAACTACATATATACACAACAGTCGCTAAGATATACAACTTTAAAGCCACAACATTGCGGTGAGTGTTTTATTTCCTTACGTAATATCTATTTATCATATGATTCTGTTTGTTTGTTTTTCTATTACACAGACCATACGCTACATGTATGTATGGTCTAGGTTTGGCCGGAATTTTCTATTCCGGGTTTCGCTCCAAGATTTAGACACTCCCTAACCGCGATGCTCATTGATGCATCACTTTTGTTGTGCCACAACATTAGGTTATTTGAACGTCCGATCTGTTGATTTTGCTGTTTATACGTTTTATACACAGACATTAACTTACGTCTACGTGTCTTCATATTTTTAGAAATACATACTAGCAGCGGATAACCGAAAGCACGTGTTTTGAATCGGTACGGAAGGTGCTGTTGTTTACATTTTGGCGGATTTCCCACAGATACTACCGGTAAGTAAACCATGCTACATGTATAATTTTAAAGAGAACTGCATGTATAGTGATTGGTACTGAACATGTTTTAAATAGAATGTGTGTATCTGTTCAAAAACATTGAAATATTCTTGATGATTTATGTCTAGCCTCCAGGTCATGAGAATTATCATCAGACAGAGCGGGAACTGAGTCACTTCTCTTGTCGGCCGGTGTACGTGTTTACATACACTCGCATACAAACACATACATTTGCTGCATTTGTCTACTGATATGGGATCAAACGTGCATTCTTCGACGATCAGATGACGATCAGATGCATTACATAATACATGGTTTGTTTAACGTGTTCGGGAAAGGTCGGGTGAAATCGAAAGTAGTCGGCCTACACACACGATAATGCAATAATGACGTGTTACTGTTAGGTGATGGTATTAACGGTATAAATCAGAAAGAACAAAATAAGTCACTTAACGAATTTCCGCCAGGCTCTCATTAGGATGACAGTGTGTGCCTGGCAATTGTGTAAGATTGTGTATTAGTCTCTGGGCCTACGTACAGCTTTCCGGAGCTAAGATGTGCAAGAAAATAACAAATATCCCATCCTGACCATCCTGTACAGTCCCATACATAGGTTCTATCCTCTCCTTTAGTTCACTAAGTAGTGTGTTCTTCAGGGTATTGTGCACGCATGTGTATGATATGATGCATATATATGGTTTAGACTGCTACACTGTATCTAAGTCCGTGGTCTAGGGTACGTGTACTTTTTGTTTAAAATCTTTACAGTCGCTCTAGGCCTAATGTATTACAAAATCACAACTGATAGTGATATGTCTCTGATGTATTGTTAGTTTGCATTCACAAGTGACAATCTAACTAAAATAACTAAATTTCCATGAACATGTGAATTATAAAAGTTAATGTAAGACGTCCCACTCTCTGTATATCAATTTTAAAAAAAATGATGAGGCTAAGTAATAAATTTTCATTTTTTCCCCCCGAGTCAACAAATAAATGCACTGTGAAAATTCCAATTCCATGTAGATAGATATATAATTATATGCATATGTAACGTAGATAACGTTGGACGCTATAGGGTACATTACGAAAAAATAGCAGAAATGTTTGTTTGTATGACTGTCTCCGGAACTCAAATACTCGAGTTTACATTCCCAGCTAACACAAAAAGACCTATTCTTCTCTTGGTATACAAGTTTACAAGGATGAAGAAGAAAGAAACGAAACGAAAAGAAAACGCCGCTATCTGTATGGCGGTATATAAATCGTTTAGTTATTTTTGCGATAATTGCTCTATAACATTTGACAACTCATGATCATGTATAACAAAACCACGAAAACGGTATAGTTATCCGTCGTAGTATGCGGTGGTTTATTATGTAATAGATCGTATGTACTGCATTCAAATGTGTATACACGTTTGTAATGCCTTAGCTCGTCAATTGCCTTACACATGACCAGTATAACAAAAGAGTGTACTCTCGGGGTTTCCTGTTACCTAGCCTAGACCGTTGAGTCTAAACTAACTTTTATTTTACTATTACAAGATATTTCCGTGTCCCCGTCGTCGGCTTAAGTACCTTTAAGTACCTCGTTTTACAATACCCAGCCAAATATCTTTGATTTATTTCAAACAAACACAGTTATAGCGTAAACGCAAGTTATTTCTTCGCTCTATTTATATGTATTTGAAAAACGTTTTACAAAGTACAAACCTTCCTGACTACGTTCATGCAAGTAATGTTATCTGAAAACCAGAACAATGCTAACACTTGGCAAATTTCTGAAGCGTATAGATAGATGGTATCAACTTAGATATGACGTTTTTTCACACGTGAGATATTTATATCGATCTGAAGATCCGTGCTAACAATTCAGCGTCGCTCCAAAGTTTCATATTTTATTTCTATTAAACACATATACTGCCACTATCTTGTTATTTGATACAACTTAAGCTAACAGGTCTGTCCGGGACACCGTGCTTGTCGATGGGGAACAGGTGTTTGTGCACGTAATCGAACTGTCGAGTGCTTCCATGGAAACCATCTCGTTCATCAATATTCATTGCCGAATTAGTCACCCTGTGCTAGATGCAAGACTGAAAGCGTTTGTCAGACCACACAATATTACAGTCGTGTTCACCGTTTAGGCTAAAAATAGGTTAGGTACATTTGTAGGTAGTAGTGGACATTTTATTTTCCCTCATTGTTATGTAATCTTTACAGTGTATACAGAGAAAACACTGATTGTTGCACCAAATGTCCCCCTACTAAATAAGGTCCTGGTCTGGACTCATTTCCAAATGAATCCACTAGTACTCCGAACGAGGGCTACAGTTGTAGCTACGCCCCTTTTGAAAGTATGAACATTAAATCCAGTTCACAACCTGCGCGTCTTATAACACAAGGTGAATATCTTGTCCGGGACATTTCCATGGAAGTAAACTCGAAAATTTGAACATAAAAAAATAAGTTTTTCACTTGACATTTTTAATTTCTGCACGGATTTGTTCAAGCCGTTATATCTCGGCCTGTTGATGTGTCATCGTCCTACCTGTGTGATTTAAAAATGCATAGATGGGTTACTAAAACAGCAATCAGTTTATTGGTTACCCGAATAACTTATAAAATTAGATGATAATTAAATGCCAGGTATTGTTTGACATTTTTTATTATAATTGATATATCCGAAACTTTTTGGGAAAATATCCATGTCTGTATGTGATTTAAATAAATCAGCATCGTCTATATAGACAATTGGTCACGCACATGCAGCTATATTATCATTTAGTAGCTGTTGATAGGGCGTTAAACGCCTTGCAACTACGCTCGCTGCAGAGCGTACGTAAGTGAGCGTAACCTCTGGAGTATCGAGTATGGAAATTGGATAAAAAGAAAATGTATCTTCCCGCAGAATTTCCCTGCGATTAGTAACATGTTTCGGGGGATTTTGTCCAAATATATTAGAAGATATAGTGTATCATACAATACGTTGGAAATAATATAAATGATATACTCCGGCTATAACACGAATCAAATAGCAACATTTACAACAAGTTGGTCCTCGTGTTTAAACATCGTGACCGTTGAGCTAGTGATCTCTAATAGGAGTAATTACCCGTGACCTTGTTCAGGAAACGTGTTATCGTCCTCTTGTAGCCCAGTGATAGTATCAGTTACTTATAAAGATGGGTGTCTTATAACACTGACTTGCCTGAAGTCCTGATGTATAAAGTAAAAGAAAACAAATTTTATGATAACTGCCTTGTTACTGTAGTTAGTTTTTCCCTGTATACTATTATAAAGACAAGGCCCGTAAATCATAACAGGGATGTTGTCTGCTGTGACACCCAGACAAGGCCAGTATATCATAACAGGGATGTTGTCTGCTTTGACATCCAGACAAGGCCAGTATCATAACAGGGATGTTGTCTGCTGTGACACCCAGACAAGGCCCGTATATCAGACCAGGAGTGTTGTCTGCTGTGACAACCAGACAAGGCCCGTATCATAACAAGGGCGTTGTCTTCTGTGACATCCAGACAAGGCCAGTACATCAGACCAGGGGTGTTGTCTGCTGTGACAACCAGAAAAGGCCCGTATCATAACAAGGGCGTTGTCTGCTGTGACATCCAGACAAGGCCAGTATATCAGACCAGGGGTGTTGTCTGCTGTGACACCCAGACAAGGCCCGTATATCAGACCAGGGGTGTTGTCTACTGTGACAACCAGACAAGGCCCGTATCATAACAAGGGCGTTGTCTGCTGTAACATCCAGACAAGGCCCGTAAATCAGACCAGGGGTGTTGTCTGCTGTGACATCCAGACAAGGCCCGTATCATAACAGGGATGTTGTCTGCTGTGACATCCAGACAAGGCCAGTATATCAGACCAGGGGTGTTGTCTGCTGTGACAACCAGACAAGGCCCGTATCATAACAGGGGTGTTGTCTGCTGTGACATCCAGACAAGGCCCGTATCATAACAGGGATGTTGTCTGCTGTGACATAAAGACAAGGCCCGTATATCAGACCAGGGGTGTTGTCTGCTGTGACAACCAGACAAGCCCGTATCATAACAGGGATGTTGTCTGCTGTGACATCCAGACAAGGCCCGTATATCAGACCAGGGGTGTTGTCTGCTGTGACAAGCAGACAAGGCCCGTATCATAACAAGGGCGTTGTCTGCTGTGACATCTAGACAAGGCCCGTATATCAGACCCAGTATGTTGTATGCTGTGACATTCAGACAAGGCCCGTATCATAACAGGGATGTTGTCTGCTGTGATATCCAGACAAAGCCCGTATATCAGACCAAGGATGTTGTCTGCTGTGATATTCAGACAAGGCCCGTATCATAACACGGATGTTGTCTGCTGTGACACACAGCTAGGCCCTTATCATTCCGAGGAAGCTGTCTGCTCTGACAAGCAGAGGACGCGTTGAAAATCTCGGGAGTACCGGTCATAGCGGGGATGTTATCTCTTGCGACAACCAGAGAAGCCCCATGCAGGTCACAGCGGGGATGTGACAGCCTGGCAAAGCCCGTATCATAACTCGGATGTTGGTTGCTTTAACAACCAGAGATCGCCCCTTTCATTCCGGGGATGCTGTCTGCTCTGACAACCAGAGGAGGCTTTAACAATCTAGGTAGTTCTGGTCATAGCGGGGATGTTATCTCTTGCGACAACCAACGAAGTCCGGGTCGTTGTGGGAATTGAGTTTCTTTAAATGCAATTAATTGCGTGTGCGCTTCGAATCGAGGCCGGCGTGTGTTACTGGTTTTCATTGACTTCGTTAAACCTAATAAAACGCTAACCAAGTCCCTTGTAGCTTGGGCCGTTTTCGTTTATTGCTATCCAAACGGTTGAATCGGTGGGACCACAGTTGTTCGTTTATGAAATAAGGTCGGACCTAGTAATCTGATGGTGCTTTAAGGCGAGCGTTGAAAAAGCCTTGCAAGGCCTGCATATACCCGAAAATGTTACATTCTAAAACAGACGAACCGGTTGTTCCGCATTACCGAACAAGCTCTCTAGGTGATAAGGGCAAGGGAGGCAACTCGTAAAAATAAGCCTACCCGAATCGCGAAAGTTGGTGACTTCGTAACTGAATTTTCTCCGTAAAACATGTACATTGTACATGTAAGCTTGAATGGAAAACATGCGTCACAAAAATAACTACTGCAGACTTTCGTAGGGCTATTTAAAGTTTGGTAATGGATAGAGATTTCAAGTGTTGATAGGGACGCAGCAGTGACAACTGTACAGGCGTTTTCTGGGGGAGGATTTATTTAACAGGCTACCAGACTGAACGGCAGAAAACATCAATTTTGCTATTTGATCCATACCACAGTTTCATTTACCTATTACCCTAGTGAGTCATTTCTCATCGTGTTATGAAAAAATAACAGTGAGACATTACATATAAAAATTAAAAATTAAAAACAAATCCATGTGTCAATTTGACAAAATGTATTTTACGCATGACCTGGGCAAAAATAAAACCCCAATTAAAACAACAAGCGTGTATTTTTCTCTCACACCAGGAAAAATATGAACATTATTGTACAGTCCATATGGATCTGCACCATAAACGTTTTTAATGACGGGTGAAATATCATAAACGTGTTGTAGTGGCAAGATAACTGTTATAGGCTTAAATAATGGTTTTTGACTTACCATGTAAAATATTCGGTTTCTATGATGGAGAAGAAAATGAAGTGCCTTTTAAAAGCCGTATGTAAAATACATGTACGGGATAAACGGGCAATGTAAGGTATGCTAGTGTGTTTTCATGTAATTGATATTAAACGAAACAACAATATAAACATATTTGCCCAAAGCACGATAGAGACCTTTCAATAAGCATTCGGCTTTGGGTCTATCTTTCAAATATTTATCACCAGATCTAATTAAGAACAGGGACAAGATGGCAGGCAAAACCAGGCGCTCGGAAAGTTGCCTTGTCTGTACGTTTTTACTGTGGTTATCACACATAATGTATTTTAAAGGAGGGTTAAGAATGGTTGTTGTTTTATTTACATTTGTTTTAATCCGTATTGGGATCTTCGTTTTACGTTTCCGGGTTTTTTTCTTTTCTATTTTACAGACATGATGGAGATGCGACTAGTTGGTCTGATGATTTTGTCCAGCATGCTCCTAGGTAACGGTGAGTATATGTTATTATTTTGCAACAGTTGTGAAGCGCCCTATCTATATCAAATTGCAGCGAAAGCACCCTAGCACCTATCTTCGATACTCTGCACCGGATTGGTCAGGTTTTTAACTTGAAACCTATCAAATAGCTAAGCGGGTGCGTTCGTTTTGATCATGCTCTATTCCAGGGTTGAACGAAAGTAGATGCATAGAGGATAGATACAAGTGTAATGGTTTCCCGTTGAAAACTAAATATTTTTCACGATTGAGAAGACTGGTTTATTGTTCCTTACACATTGTCACAGTCATATTTTCCCTTACACATTGTCACACTGATATTTTTTTATATTTCACTGATGAAAATGTTAAAAATGAGGAAGGTATAGATATTGCGGTTTTTAGATGTTTTGACAGTGATCATATTGAGTGATGGTAAGAACGTGCTACCCTAAGTTGTGAAGGACTTTCAGCTGATTGAAGTTGTATTTTACCCCGCGAGTGAAGTTTTTTTTAACAGTTACGATAATAGGCACATGATGGAAAAATAACTGTATTATTTGTTTTCATACCAGTGGACGCACAGGGGACATGCGTCCCTATTGACACAGCACTAGAAGACTTCCAAGTGAAGCGTTTCTTCAAAGAAAGCGATACAGGTTTTGAGAAGTAAGTAAAATGGTCAAACATAGGGTGCTGTGGTTAGCCAAATCATGTAAATACTTTTATAAATTGGCCGAAATGATGCCGAAACCATCATCAAACTAATAGCTACATAAAATAACTAGGGAACATATTTCAAATACCGGAAAGAGTCTGGCACCATGAATTGTAGAAACAACTTAAGAGTGTACGAACGGTTAACAATAATTTAAATGACAAAAATCCTAATCATCAGTTTATATATGGTGACTTGTATACGCCAGGGTTATTCCCTGCTTCCAATTTTATTCCTCGTGTTTATGTATAATAGCTATGAAATTTTACACCCGTGAAATTAAACATCTTGCTGCCGTTATGCAACAGGGTTCTGCCCTGTGTCAGTTGTATCATTGATGTTCATTGTGATAGATATGGAAATTTACGCCCACGAATTTAAACATTTACATGTATACAATATCAAGAATATGCTGGCAGCCGCCTGGTAGGGTATTGTAGCTCTTGTGTTTATTTTACAGTGGTTTAAGTTGCTCCTGGACGCTTAGGGCTGTCAATAACGAGAGTACCATTGCCTACCAGATCACGAATATCAACCTGGGTATTGATGACCTTCTCAATGTCTATGCAGGTGATGTACCGATTTATTTTTTGCGACTGTTTTTGTTGATTCAAGATGGTTTTAAGCAGTGGTCATATTGTATCACAAATATCTTTAATGAGTGTCATTTTCTAAGTTCAATATGGAGAAGAAGGATGTTTTAAATTCCGTGAAAGAAACTTATGACATAATTTGCAGAGGAAGTTGAGGTCAAAATGCATTGTTACTTGACCTCATAGTTAGAAGATTGACCAATGAAATAACGTCTAGAATGTTACCAACTAGTGATAGCCAAAAAAGTCGTCCACCTTTGAGCAGTTTTTATCCAATGAGTTGAGAGTGAGGAAAGTTATAGTGCTTGTTGGAGAAGTGTATTTTCTCCAGATATTTAAGTCCATTAAAGTCCTTAAGCCGACCATGCGTTCACGTACTATTAACAGGACCACATATAAAGAACAGTTCGATTTATACTGAACCATTATCATACTATTAAATGTAAATGCTTGTTCACATGGAATGTTGTAGGAACAACCACATCTGACCCTAATGTGTTGGTCAATCATACTGGTGTAGGATCGTCACAGAATGTAGCCAGTGTAGACACACCAAACATCCTTGTGACGTTTGAAACAGGAACCGTTGCGCAGACAACTCGACAGACTTTCGAAACTTTTTTCATTGCAGGATCAGACAGATGTAAGTTTCGTTGAATTTAAATAGTTGCTAACATGCTCAGTTGTTTTTAACAAAAACCTTTTTGCTGGATTTAGGTTTGCCGGATTTAAGAAAATTATCTATAAAATTATCTATAAAATCATACGTCGGTGATATCATGATTACGATTTTGAGAGCTTTTTATTAGTAAACAAACATAAAACAGACAAATAATGAGTTGAAAATCGTTTTTTTGCAATTTTAAAATGTATACGAATGAGAAAGTGATATCCAATTTTTGTAAATATTTCCAGCCGGAGCTGTATCGTGCGTGAATCAGACCCTAATAGCTACTGCTGATTCACAGCTTTTGACGTCTCCCTCATTCCCTGGCCTGTATCCAACGTAAGTAGTAGTTGTCTAGTGGTAGGACGCGGGTTCCTGACCCAGGGGTTGGGGGTCTGAGTCACAGCACGGCACTGTGCAAGTTACTTTACTCCGCTTGTTCCAGTCTACTCAAGTGTAAATAAGTAAGTGGTTTGGCAGTGTTGGAATTGTTGAAAGCTAGCTGTGAACGCCTTAATGGCAGTACCGGTTGTTTCACAGGGAGTTGAGAAAGATATTGGCTGGTTGCAAAGGCCCTATAACCACGGTTAATATCATGTGAATCGCTTTGAGACCACTTACGACCTAGGTTGTGATAAAGTAGTTTAGAAGAACCTCGAATTATTATCACTTTGATTATTTAAGTTTTTCTCACGTCTTCTGACGAAACAATAACGCTTCCAAAATGAACATTCATATAAAGGGAAATCACTCTCTATTTCTTGAAGACTCGTTATTGTGTCATTGCAGTTACGTATGTGAAGGAATGTTTTATCTTCACAAAGGGAGACCACTTACTGTTTAATACAGAATAGTTATTGCGTTATTTCAGCTATCACTGTTATGCACACAACACACCGCTAAGGATCGGTGCTGTTGTAAAACATGTTTTCAATCACATCTTTATTTATCAGGTCCGAGCAATGTAGTTGGACCATCTCAGCACCAGAGTCTGCTACTCTTGAACTGACATTTTCAATGATTGACATTGAGGTGGGGGACTCGCCGGACATCTGTAACTATGACAGACTCGTTGTTTATCTGCGTAAGTATTGATAGGACAACTCTTGCAATTATCACAAAATTTGACAATGTGCGAAAACTGTTAAAGCGGTGATTGATATCCACGGATTTACAAGAAATGCAAACACAATTAAATTGGTTCTCTGTTTATATCGACGTGATTTGAATTGCGAACGGGAACAGTATATTATGGACAATTGATCATCTTAGATTAGGTATTGCGTAAACCTTCATTTCAATATAGCTAGAGTGGGTTTACTTGTATGTTTTAAATGTTTTTTCTAGTTCCTTCTATTTTTGTTGTAAGCATCCGATTATGCCTAGATTCAGATTCAGACTAAAACTTCTTTATTGTTGATTGTGTTTTAAAACACATTGGAGAAAAACATAACATATGCAGTATTTACAAAACAACACAAGACCATGGTATGATAGTACAGCATTACACAATGCTATACATATACAGTATGAAAAGTAGTCTTGCATCTACATGTACTATTATATTAAAATCAAAACGTTATATGCAAGACATTTAAAAGACTGGGGTGGCTAGTGGATCTGAAGAGTTGGAGAAAGAGGTAGAGGGACCGGAGGTTGTACTGAAGTCACACCCCTTTTCAAGTTGACCAGTTCATCATGTCATTGTGCCTTTCTAATTTATGACTATTGTAAATACGCATTAGATCTCTTTTTCAGTCTTCGAATACCAACTGGATATGTACTGTACGGGAAATTTACTTTTTATTCTGATAAACATATACATATATTTATTATATCCAAAGAAACGTAAATATCTTATAACAGTTTTTGATAAAATTTGTCTCATATTGTAACAGACTTTTTTCTTGATCAGTGTTATTGGGAGTGGATAAAAAACATATCAAAATGTATCAGTTGGGAGAAATGGAAAATGTTTCAAAAAGGGGAGGAAATAATCGGACGTTTTTGTGCGGAAATCCACAGCAGGGCTTTGCTTTGATAATGATAAAGGAAAAATATTTCTCTCATCACGACCATATCAAGGAAAATGAATTTATAGGTTACATGAAGCGTACTGTTTTTCATCTACATTATTATGTTGGAGTATACTAAGTACTATCTTTTCCAATAAGTGATACCTTTTACATGCTTAGCCGGCCAAAGGGACAGCCCGGAATTACTGGTGTGTAGACGTAATATTTGGGTCCAAGAGACCCACACCATAGCAAATAACCAGGTTCAGCTTGACTTCGAGGGGGACGATTCGGATTCGTATGGAGGATTTGTGTTAACTTACAGAGCGAGTAAGTACTGATGTAAATTATATTTTGAGGGCGTTTTAGTTTGCTAGAAAAAATGAAATGATGTGCTGAGTTTATACTGTAACGGAAATGAATAAAAGCATGAAAAAATGCTTTTGTAAATAAAGAAATTGTCACAGATCATTACCAGTCTTATTTGATATTTCTTTGGTACTTCCAGGTAAATAAAGTCAACTGTATATCATGTTTTCTTCTTGCTTCAGTTATGAATTAAATACTGTATTTTTATTTTACTTTTGTTATCTTGATATAAGAACTGTACTAATCCGTTTTATTTTATTTTACTTTTACTTTTGTTATCTTGATATAAGAACTGTACTAATCCGTTTTATTTTCATGTGATTTCAATTAATATTTGTTAATTGCGTCAATACATACACAGTACATTCGTCATAATGGCGCAAATGTACTGATTCTCGGCACAATGGCATAACAAGCGTTATGCATATACACAACTCAATGTTATTCATCCCTCCTATACGTATTTGTGTGATGTTTCCAATGGTAGTTTGAGGTAACCGTCGGTACGCTCACTTACGTTCTCTGCACCCCTGGAATATGTCACGACAAAATGGAAGTCTCAATATGCACCAAATTGTGGGTAACACAAGGTCTCAATATGCACCAAATTGCGGGTGAGACAAGAAGACTAGTTTGATCCTTTGATGTACATCAACAGCATCTCGCAGTCGACTAACGGTAAATTTGACTTGCTTGAAGTCGGGTGTCGCTCCTCGGTAATATTCAAAGGACAAATATTTGCAAAGCGATTGTTTAGGTTTTTGTTACCCGAGACCAATCAAATAGTTAGCCGAGTGCCTTCAATATGGCATTGGTATAATCTAGGGTTGCAGAGAGCGAAAATGAGCGGAACACCTGGAGTATCCAGGATGGTGACATATAAGCTGTCCATAGTATGAGATTTCGTTATGATGACTATTATAAATCCATTTTAGCCCTATTTTGATATTGTCGCCAAATGCCCGAAATCCCGTAACAAACAAACAGGCAATAAAGATTTTGTAATTGTAAATTGTACATGAATTGTTTCAGTTCTTCCACCTCCAACAACAACTACTGCGCCACCCACAGGTTAGTTCTAACAGACGTTTAATGTAAGTCGCATCTTTGTCAACAAGTCGCACGTTTCTGTCTCCGCAATCGTAAGTATTGTCATATGCACGTTGTGATTTTTCTTTTATAGATTATAAAATTACGTTCTAGTTAGTTCATGTTTGTTACGGTCAAATACCCTTGCTCTCTATTTGTATGCGTTTAAAACGATAAAGTGTTTATATTTGATGCTGACTTTTTAAAGTAAAACGTACACACAATGATCTGCATGCGCTTTCCACTTTATTTGACTACTGTACTTATAATTATGGTGATGGGTAATATTATTTCATATGGCTTGCTTTCATTGAATCGCCGGGCTAGAATTTAGGTGATCATTTGTATGTGTTTTTTACATGGATAGCTAAAATTATAAATTTGCTTTTGCAGACAAATCTCCTGTATCCAGGACATGACTATCTGATATTGCCACGAGAAACACATTTGCTTTGAAATAAGATGTTATATCATCGACATGATTTATGTGTTTGGAATATAACATGAATTCATATTCAACCATTAACTAATTTTTACTCAGAAATATTTTCTTAAATGTCATTTATCATTAAATTCAAGCCCTGTAACAAAATGATTTCATACAGATTGATTCATGCGTCTTGCCGTTATAAAGGGATATTTAATTTGACTGACTTAGTCATGCAACCTTATATTTATATAAGGTTGTCTGAATTACACGTTGTTTATTTGTTTGTTTACACTCAGCTTCACGTTCTATGGTTAGAAATTTTTCATTGCTTGATTAACAATTCGGCGTTTTTATTGAAACATTAATTTGCATGTTTGCATTCTCACTCTATTGACAGTAACTAATATATTTCCTTTGTAGACTCCCATTTTATTCTTGATTTTATAGATTGTTATATAATGTATAATCATAGACTTTCTCATTGAAAATGTAATGCTCATTACCCGTTCCTGCTTTTGAACTTCGCAGGTATATTATAATCACTTTCTGACTTCCGTTCGATATAATTTATCGGGTATTTTGCATTGGAGCTGAGCTTTTCCTCTCTGGGTTCTACCTCGTCTCCTAGCAGAATGATGGTTTACTTTCTTACCATCATTCGAGGGTGCATACATCCATGAATAAAAGGTTAAAGGTACGTCTTGTGTTCTAGTGATATATAAACATGATTTTACCATATATTGTCATATTTGTGTTGAAATGTATTTTTAGAAAGTTGATATTAAATGTTGATGCTTTCCCTACAAAATACGTTTAAAAAGATGGAAACCTTTCTTAGAAGTTGAACCTGGTTTAGTCTTATTAATGCCGTGTATTTTTTCCACATTGATCGCAAAAACATTATAAAAATATTGAACACATATGGAAAGGATGTCTGTTGTATTCTATTTTGTAAGTGAGGTGTATACACTTTATGATGATAGACTTTTGAACATCACGTCCTTAGATAACCTTGCTTGTTGATAGGACATTAAACTCTGTAAAACCAACCTGCCAAACTTGCAACAGAGATTTAACATTTGATATCCTGGCTCCAAATGTCGACCCAACACTTATTATTTATCTGATGCCCCAACAACTTTGTAGCATTTTGATAAATGGTTCTGCTAATTTGTCAAGAGGCCAAAAACAATTACATTTCGTAATCTGTACGATTTTAGAACCCTCTCTCTCTCTCTCTCTCGCTCTCTCTCTCGCTCGTTTAGTGTATTTATATGACGATGTGTGTGTATGAAAGTGTGGATTTTGTGTCATAAGTAGGTGTGCCTTCGTATGAACAGTGGATGTTTGTGGAAATTGATGTTCATATATAATTGTCATATTATGTATTTATGTGTTACATGTGAGGAGAACAACACGTAGTCAATGGTTGTTTGTAATCCTCGTAAAACAAAAAAAATTAATTATATCGATTTCACCCTTATGATTTCAGAGAGTACACCGAAAACTGACCGTCATGGATGCAACCATGGACATACAGGATATGAAGAAGAGAACAGTAGCAACAGTGATCCTAAAAGTGCCGGTCTTAGTGATGAGGGTGACTCAGATCAGTAAACTTTTGCCATGTCTGGTTCCCACGTACTGTCACTGAACTGGTTTTATGACCTACTTGATACTTCTACATGCTGTCTTCTGGAATGATATTTTCTACTTCACTCAGCTGTTAAAGTACTTGTGTATGTTGTAATCCAATAAATACTCTGACGTATGTTTGTGCTTGTCCTGTTTGTCAAATACCACTTAAACAACCAATAATACATGCTGTTGTAAATTTGTTGACTCAGACTTGACTTCCCGTCTATTTTAAGCATATGTGTAAAAATTACCTTTATGTAAAAGTTTTAATACCGGATTAGTTACTGTTCCGTCTTTCTTGCACGACTACAAGGTATTGCCGAATCGCGGTTGATATCATTTATAATATCCTTCGCTACTGTCAATAATAGAAATATTTGTGGTTTGTTTGTGGTAAGCACTACTCGAATACACTACATAAGCACGCTAAGCTCGGAAATAGAAGCAGTCGCCGATTTCGTCACCGGTACACCTTATCGCGGCACATATACAGGAGAAAATGACCATGCAAAGAAAAGTTGGTATGTATACCTAAATATATTTATTTAATGCATTCTTTAAATGCTTTGATACTTAAAAAGTGCAAAGACAAAATTATATAAATAATACATAAATTTATAAAAGCTTCTCTTTTTTAAAATATAATTGATACATTACGTAGACACAAAGAAATAAGTAGTGTATATGGATTGAAAGAAAATGAGACCAAAGTACAACTTATGTGCATTTTTAGGTCACCTGAGACAAAGTCTCAAGTGACCTATTGCGATCGCCTTTTGTCCGTCGTGCGTCCGTAAACAATTTGCTTTTTCGACTTCTTCTCCAAAACCCCTGAACCAATTTCAATGAAATTTTGCAGAAACCTTCCATGGCCAAAGGTCAACAAAAATAGATGCCGGTTTGGTCCCCGGCCCCCAGGGGCCTGAGAGGCGGGGCCAAAAAGGGGCAAATTGACTGAAATTTCAAAAATCTTCTTCTCAAGACCCAGATATGGTAGAATCAAACACTCTTCATAGATGGAAGGAACTTAAGGTGCCCTACCAAAATTGTGAATTTTATGACCCTGGAGTCTCATGTGTACCCCTGGGGAGGGGGTGATATTTACTATAGTTTATATAGGGAAATCACATTTTGGACCAACATTTGTTTAATTTTCTTTGGAAGTAATTCAATTTGGGTTAGCATTATCAGTATTGTATAGCAGTTTGATGGTATGCACATATAAGCCCTGACTGACCCCCCAGGGCTGATGGGTGGGGCCAAAAAAGGTTGAATTGACTGAAATTTCAAAAGAAGGGGGGAGGGGCAATGGTTTATAATGGCAAACGATACTTTGAATATTACATGTTAATAACTTGATTGGAATTATAACCCTGAGTTGACAGTTTGATACTTTGAAAATTTTGAGCCAGCCCTACCCCCAAGGGCTGTACGGTGGGGCCCAAAGAAGTCCGTGTGCTAAAATTTCTTCATTTTCCTTGTTTAGAATCAGAGGTGCTAGTTTCAAATACTTTTTAGTCTTAAATCTGTATGCTAGATATTGAATAAGGTGGTTTTATTGTTTGTTGTCACTGAATAATATTTCTGTTCGTGTTAAAAACAAACTCAACTCTCTGTATAAATATATCAGGTGACCGTTAAGGCCCATGGGCCTCTTGTTTATGTCTTGTTGCACTTATTGTTACATTCATCAAACATGTCAGTCAGATTAGATGGTTTATTTAAATTACAAAGTGGGTTGGTGCAGGAAACGTTCCGTCTGTGTTCTGTGGGTATTCCGGAAGGTTTTCTGTTTATTTTGATGTTTCACTGCTCCTGGTACAGTATTGCCTTTTTGTATATTTGATACTGAGGTTTCATAAAATTTCTTCCAACAATCATTTGTCGTTTTTGTTTATTACCAATTATCAGTAATTTTACATCTTATACTTATTTACTTATACCACAACTCGGATAACCGTTAAGGCCCATGGGACTTTCGTTTTAATTCTGATCACAACACAAGCATTCACACACCTATACATACATATATTTCGACCACAGTACTAGGACTTTCAAGGTTTTATTGAAGAAAATGGTGAAGGTATGGTCGGTTTCTGTCCCCAGTCCTGGTAGAGGGTCGGCTGATACAGAAGGATTGCCTCTGCCTCTGACAACGACGACGACGACGTTGAAATCTATTGTCGTTGGGCGCGTTTTGTCAAAGTTTAAGGTCGTTGTTGCTTTAAATGAGAAGATCTTTTCAGGATCTTCACTTCTGAACAACTATTTTGGATCTTCACGTCAAAGGTCAAGGTTACTGTTACTAAAAATAGGATTTGTTTGTCTACATACTCGGTTTAAAAAAAATGTTTAGACAAAGCTCAGATTTTGTATGTAAGTTGCCCTATAGGAGAATAAACATTCTGTTGATTTTAAGAAATTTATAAGATAAGTGAATAGTCTGGATGGAAGATGTCAAAACAAATGATCGCAAAAAACTGAAACGTGCTAGGTTAGTTTACCCCGAGAAGAGAATAAATCTTAATGTTTTTGGGAATGGTCGATCAAAAGTCCAGGACATTCTTACCAAAAAAAGTATGATGTCACATCCGAACTAAAGAATAATCACTAGATTTACGGGTTGCCGTATTGGAGAGGAAGAATATTGTTCAATTTGGTTATGGTTTGTCATAGCCGAAGGTCATCGTGTCTATAATTGAATCGTTCTGATGCTAACTTTGAGGTAACGACTTCCGACTTTAATTGCTATAGCAACAATTTTACAAGCACGTGCACTTCCTAATGAAAATGATTTGTGTATCAACAACGTTCCTGATTTGTTTTCGGTTGACAGACGGCTCTCTCGTTTATTTACTTTATTGTGGTCGAAATATTAAGTCATGTGCATACATTTGTTGTAATAAAGACTTGAAAACCTCGTGATGATCTTCACCAACCCATAGAAATGTCTCTATTTATCAAATATTCAACTTTTATCTGATATTATATATCTAATTACCTTCTCTTGTCTCAGAAGAAACCTGCACCCAGCTAGAAGAAACAGGACCTTGTCTGGCGTATTTCAGAAAGTTTACATATGATGCGGCGAAAAAGACATGCAGAGAGTTCATTTATGGTGGCTGTGGTGGGAATTCTAATCGCTTTGACTCTTTGGAGGATTGCCAAGCCAAATGCCAGAGCAATAGACTCGATGGTAATTTATTTTGTATGTCATGATTTGGTTCTAAACGTTTCAAGTTAGCTCATTCATTGATAGCACTTTAAATATTTTTGCTTTTTTTATAGCCGGATCTCGGCCACTTCTCGCTGACCATATTGATACGCAAGGCGAAGTAAAGAATGGTACGTGAAGCTTGCAATTTTCAAGTTCTAAGTGAATGTTTAAGCAGATAGACAACGTCTAGTGAAAACATTACGGTCATGATTTCCTAGGTTGTGCATCTTATTTTACGTTGACAAGCGTTCGTAGTATTTCTATAATTGTTTTAGTGTAATGTTACTGGGATAGTTTAAAGTTAATTTGCGGATTCCGTGTTTTAAATCGGTTAATGTATGGTCAAATGTTTTAACTTGTCATTTATTGAAATTGTAGATATCTGCAACTTATCCAAAGAAACTGGACCATGTCGGGGATTATTTAGCAGATTCGCCTATAATGACGTTACACAAAGTTGTGAAGAATTTGTCTATGGAGGCTGTGGAGGAAATGCCAATCGCTTTGACACCATGGTGGACTGTGAAACACAGTGCTTTCCAAATTATGAAGATGGTATACATATTTAATCTTAGTTTTAATGTTACACTTGGTATAACTAAATTTATTTGATTCAACATATCGCTGGGATTTGTATACGTTGACAAGTGATCCTAGTTTTTCTATTTGTTTTTTAGTTTAATGTTACTGGGATAGTTTAAAGTTAATTTGCTGATTCCATGTCTTAAAATCGTTTTATGTATGGTCAAGTGTTTTAACTAATCATTTTTTGAAATTGTAGATATCTGTAACTTACCCAAAGAAACTGGGCCATGTCGGGGATTATTCAGCAGATTCGCCTATAATGACGTTACACAAAGTTGTGAAGAATTTGTCTATGGAGGCTGTGGAGGAAATGCCAATCGCTTTGACACCATGGTGGACTGTGAAACACAGTGCCTTCCCAATGATGAAGAGGGTATACATATTTAAACTTAGTTTTAATGTTACACTTGGTATTTTTAAATTTAATTGATTCATCATATCGCTAAGATTTGTGTCCTACAGTTATGTTTTAACAGTTAATTTTGAATTCAAATTCAAACCAGATATTTCAGGATTTGAGATTCTTTCATTATTATGTCACTTGGTTTTAAAGGCGATACTATTTACACACAAGGCTACATATGGGCAAGAAACGATACATAGGGGATAAATACATATACTGCGCATTTATTTACTTATAATTATTATCTACTGCTCATTTATCGTAGCTTATCCCTATAGATTACAACGGAAATATCGATTCGAATGCTTTATCTTCTATCTAACCCAGATCGTTTCATTCAATTTCGTTTTCAGTCATTCTTCCCGGTTTCGTTTCGCCTACTTTCATTCAATACCATTCATGTTTTCATGTTAGAAAAACATGTTTCGTTCCGTTCTCGTTGTGTTTCGTTCCGTTCCGTTAAGGCAGTGTTTCATTCCATTTGCATTGCGTTTTCATTCCATTGCGTTCGTCAACTGAAACGCTGACACTCCAGTAGTAGTCAACTCGTAATTTTGATGAATTGTCAGTAAATTACTCAACATTTTTATCACAATTTTTAAACAGCTAATTTGGTGTATTGGAAAAAAATTGGCTATGCGTTGCGATAAGGAAGAAATATTACAAATGAGCCATAGACTCGTAGTTCTAGGGTGAAATAAAACTGAAATAAATATGTTGACAGTTAGTTGCTCCACACTTTATTGTGTATATAAGGAAAAGAAACATGAAAATCGCTTGTCTGAATTGTTTGAAAATAAACATTTCCTTACTATAAAGTTTACAACATTTTTAGGAGAGGATTTATTCACCACATCTTGTTTATATTGGATAATAAATGTCCACTTAGGTGATGGCAGATTTATAGCAGTTACATTCAAGTGAATTCAGATATAAATCATCGTATTTTATTTTAACTTTCCATCTCACATACCACAGTTAAATACAAATAATGACTGCCGTTCAAATAGTGGAATATATTTGATGCGCATGTTTTACTGGCGAAGTAGTTTTTGGTGTTTCACGTTTATGGATAAATAATGTTGTAAGCCTCACATGTACGACATGGTCACGCATTGAGATCCAAGCTTAATCAAAAGAATGTTGTTCTTAATTCGTAATATTTGAAGCCTTAGTGATCCATATGTTCCAAAATCCGGAGTTAGAAACGTAGGACAAGTATCCATGTGTTTTATTGACTGGTATTGACTTTATTAAATTGTTTCAATGTTTCAAAGAGTATAAATCAATATTTGGCTCATAAACAATCGATGGAGGACCAACCTAAAACCACATTGGCGATCAGTTATATGTTTGCTTTGCGTCTCAAAAACAAAATGTATTAAATCTTTGACCAGATCATATAGACACAGATCTAGAGTAATTGACAACTTCGGAAACACCATCTTAAGAAAGGAAATGACTTTGGCCTTTTTCTGAAACTGGTAAACGAGTTGAGCCCAATATGTTACCGACATACCATTAGTACATGTAGCCTTAAATTCAGGGATACATCAAGTTTTAAATGCTTTTATAAGGTCTAATTTTGCGTGTTGAGTTGTTGCCTTCTCAAAAAGAGACAAGCACATCTAAAATGTCCCTACATACGCTATATCTTCATAAACCTCCTCCGACCTAAGTAAGGAAGACTTAATGATTTTACCCTGTTTCTCCTTAATGTCATTATGCTAAAGGTCGAACCAAAGAGAAACATCAAATGTGGGGGACCAAGGACAGTCCGTGATAACCTGATAATTACCGACGAATGTTGTCGGGAATACTATGATTTTAATCAAATCTTCAATAAATACTATTTCCGGTCCCGCACTCAAAATTAAGTCATATGCTGTAAACAACAATCATTTTATTTCATTTTCAAGATGGATGTGGTTTGCCACTGGTCACAGGACCTTGCCGGGGAGCTATCCAGAAATATGGATATGACACAGTTAGTAAGGCATGCAAGGAGTTCATGTATGGCGGCTGCAGGGGTAACGGAAATCGATTTGATTCGATGGAACTGTGCGAGAACCGATGCGAACCGACGCAAAGTAGGTTGTTTTCATCCAATCCGACTTACCACACCATATAATGAAGTGACGTAAATGTATGTTAAATAAAGAAATATGCATTCACGTTTGTAAAATGACTTGATTGGTATTTTGTTATTGTCATGTTTTTTTTAGGAACACAATATGAGGATATTACCCGAATGCGTGCATAAAAGGACCGTGTCGCCTTCGTCCGTCTTCCACTTTTCTTTTAAAAGACTGATATTGCAAAACCACTTAACAGCGATTTTACTAAGATAAGTATTGGGCATTCCTGTCCAATATAATTCATAAGGTCATTATTAGCTCGCCTGGTCCGAAGGACCAAGGTGAGCTTATGCCATACCGTGGCGTCCGTCGTCCGTCCATCAACAATTTCTTTAAACGACTTCTTCTTCTTAACCACTAATCGGAATTTAACCAAATTTGTCCGGAAGCATCTTTAGGTGGTGGGGATTCAAAATTGTACAAATGGTGGATATGACCCCCCTGGGGGTTGAGGGGCGGGGCCAAAAAGGGTTATTTGGCTATGTTGCTTTAAGCGACTTCTTCTCTTAAACTAAGAGATGGATATCAACCATATTTGACTGGAAGCATCCCTAGGTGGTGGAGATTCAAAATTGTACAAATGGTTGGGCAGACCCCCAAGGGGGCTGAGGGGCGGGGCCGAAAAGGGGTTATTTGGCTATATTGCTACAAACGACTTCTTCTGTAGAACCATGCACTGGATATCAATCATATTTAATCAAAAGCATTCATGGGAGGCAAGGATTAAAAATTGTACAAATGGTGGGGCTGACCCCCCAGGGGGCTGAGGGGCAGGGCCAGAAAGGGTTATTTGGCTATATTGCTTTAAGCGACTTCTCTGGAACTAAGAGATGGATATCAACCATATTTAACTGGAAGCATCCGTAGGTGGTGGAGATTCAAAATTGTACAAATGGTTGGGCAGACCCCCCAGGGGGCTGAGGGGCGGGCCGAAAAGGGGTTATTTGGCAATATTGCTACAAATGACTTCCTCTGTAGAACCATGCACTGGATATCAATCATATTTAATCAAAAGCATTCATATGGGAGGCAAAGATTCAAATTTGTAGAAATGACGGGGCTGACCCCCCAGGGGGCTGAGGGGCGGGGCCAAAAAGGGTTATTTGGCTATATTGCTTTAAGCGACTTCTCTGGAACTAAGAGATCGATTTCAACCATATTTGACTGGAAGTATCCGTAGGTGGTTGGGATTCAAAATTGTACAAATGGTTGGGCTGACCCCCTAGGGGGCTGAGAGCGGGTCCAAAAGGGGGCAATTTGGTTATATTGCTACAAACGACTTCTTCTGTAGAACTATGCCAAGGATATCGATCATATTTGGTCAGACATTCATGGGAGGCAGAGATTCAAAATTGTACAAATAGTGGGGCTGACCCCCCGGGCTAAGGTGTGGGGCCAAAAAAAGGTTTTGCTTGGAAATGGTTGAGATCCCCACCATATAACCATATATACAATTGCTGAGTATAAAGAAAAGAATGCACATTTGCTTCCAGGATGGCTCTAGGGTCTGGCCCCACCCTTGGAGACATAGTCCCTGGGTCATAACTTTAAAAAGGTTGAGATCCCCACCCCAAAACTATATATACAAATGCTAGGCATAACGAGACGAATGCAGTCGTGATATTAGAATAGACCCTAGGGTGTGACCGAACCCCTAGGGACATAGTTTCTTAGTCACAGCTTGGAAACAGTTGAGATCCCCACCCCATAACCATTCATAAAATTGCTGGGCATGAAAAATCTAATACAGATATGCTACAAGGATTGGCCTTGGGGTCTGGCATATTCCCTTGATCTCATTTGGAGAATATTATGCCATGTTTGCTATCCAGGTGAGCGATACAGGCCCTGTGTTTAAACTTGTACTCCTGGCGTGTAGGTTAAGGTTTTTTTAAACTTCCACCTGGTGCATTTGATGAAAGTGCAGCTCCTCTTGTAGCTCCAAATATTTTCATCTATTGAATAGCAAATATGACTAGACAATTTGAACGGGACATTTACAACTTCTTAACTTTCTAGAGGGGTCAGTATTAGTAAAAGGTCTGCTCTTGTGGTCTTCGTGTGGATGTGCTTCGGATATTTTGAAATCAAAGATAGCAACCTAGTCGCTTTGTTGGACATCTTTCTAACAATGCTAAATTCCACCTCATCTGTTGAATGCAAATGTCGAACATACGCTACAGTCATTGCCAAGTGTTGATTTCAATCTTTGGATCAAAAAAGAAATCGGAGGACACCCCACAGGTCTAAAGGTTTTGAACACAGGGCTCTTGTTCGATACAATTTCTGGTTTAACGAACATGCTACTTTCTACAGTATTCTTAATCCGCTGAGAGGTTTAAAGCTTTAATGCAAAAATTATCTCTTCTGATCAAGTGATCAAAACACAAGTGTCGGATTTAATTGTCAATATACACAATCATTTGAACAGTATAATAAAGGCTAATAGTAATGATTGCGTTGAAGGTTATGCACATATTTTAGGATGTACGCATGCTCTGAAATATTTCAATACCAAATACTTTAGCACTCTCTGTGTGTTTTCTTTCATTGTATTTTAACTCGTCCTTTTATTCTTGTTAACACTTTATTTGTATGCAATATAATCACAGCTTGTTTTAGACATTAATCTTCTGTTTAAGCAAATAACATTGTACTTCAACTTTTTCATAAGTATATATTGTGTGTTGTTATTATTGCTTTATGACACATTTGTTTTAAACAAACATTATTTGTATTGCACAGTTCATTAAGTGATGTGAAATATGTGTTTGATTAAAGCATGCGCATTTGTCAATTAAGCTCATTAATGTTTTATGCAATGAAAAAAATCAAAATAGCATCGGTAATTTCCTATCGCAACTCAAACAATTTGAGTAATGCTTTCAAATCGAAACGAAATAATACGCGTTTAGATCATTTGGGAAAACTTGTAGCTCATTTGACAAAGCAATTTTGCTTACGCCATTGGTCTTTTTCAGTCGTGCATCGTCCATTAATCTTTTCTTGGCCGGCCGCAATGGAAGCCATCGTGATAATCAGTGTTGAATTTAAACACAAGTTCTTCTGATCGGATTAAGCTGAAATGTTACTGAAATGGCTGATACATTGTTCAGAGAAAGCTTTGTAATTTTGGATTGGATAAGAACGCATACATGGCTGCCAAAGATTCCGTTTTGAAACTCCATTTTGCATTTAAATTGAAATAGTTCTGCTGAATAGATTATGCTGAAAGTAGGTGCAAATAATTAGCACATTTCACTGACAAATTCTTATTTCAGAGATAGCTTGAATTTAATTCGAGAGATCATTATGTTTTGTTGAAACTTACTTGAAATGTTAGTTCATAGTTGTGACCTAAAACCAGTCCATCTTTTATTGTTATTTTCATTGCAAATGTCTGAAAATTTTGTCATTAATAAGGCTGAAATGAAATTATTGTGAGCGTATAGGCCGCATTGGCCCCTTATTTGGTTTAGCTGTTAATATCAGCTTTACTTACATGTATGATGAACCTAATCAAGTTCGGCACTTACTTATCGTACATCCTTATTAAGTGCAAAGTCGACGAAATGTAATGTGCAAAGGATGTTAAACGAAATATTTTGATTTGTGAGCCATATATGTGCAATTGATGATTTTCCCCTCAAATATCTTTTAGTTTGCAGATAACTGGTACCTGTTTATATTCGTTTGAGGTATAGAGTTCAAGCGAATGTCAGTACGGAAGCACTTTTTTGACAGCGTCCATATAATAACACTTATTCTTAATGACATTACGTTGCAGTTTCAATAATAAACATTCCTTCTGTGCTTAATGAAGATATGACAAAATAGTAAACACATTTAAGATATTATTTTGAACTTAATACCCGCTTTATATCTTACAAACATTATGATTGTTTTATAATTTTTGCACAGGTTGTGATATGGTGTCCTGCATCATTCCTATCATCGTTGTTGTCGCCATATTCGGTGTCGCTATAATCATAGCCGTCGTCTTGATCCAGAAACGACGACGCAGTTCCAATACAAAGTATGGCCCAACTGCTGCAAGCGAACCGGGAGATGCAAGCGAATTAAAGAAGGTGTCACTCGATGCCGAAAATGTATAAATCTGAACACTCTGTCACGATGTCACGTGGCTAAAAAGTAAGACAATGGAAATAAATCAGCGCTGAATCCTTGTGTTTTTGCCTAAGATATTTTAATCACATTGCAAAAGATTTTTTTTTAACTCGAACGGAAAAAATGTTGAATATCAAATTATTATGTTTTCTGATTTTAATACAGAGATCAGGGTCTATTTATGAAATCGTTCTCATGTGTGTTCAAGACTATTTTTTTGTTTTGGTTATAAATTAATAATATAATTTTATTTTTGTCAATGATTTTGGAAAAATTGAAAAGATTTAAAGCCATGTATATGTTTTCTTTCGATTTTTACATTTCAGTTTTTGATCGTTTTACATGACTTAAGTTAGTTTCAAGAAAGTTGGTTTGAGCACAGGTTCAATGCGTGAGCATGAGTACGGTTTCATGAATACGTTCCAGATATGCTGTTTATACGCACTGTCATTTACAGATCTGTGTAGCTGTGTAACAAGGCATTTGAATAGCTATAAAAAGGGACCTGTTTGTATGTACTATTTCACTATTTCTTATATCAGTAGGTAACTGTTGCTAGATCTTACCCATGTAGGTGTCCGTCTTTTTAATATCAGGTAACCTTTTTTAATCATCATGCTATTATCTGTTGAATTTTGTTGTTATCGTATGTTCAGCACCATAATGCACCAATGCACTTATACTTTGAAGTTATCTTTTAAAATAATCAAATATAGTCTCCTTCGCAACTTAGAGCAAAATAAAATAAGCATAATAACCATGCTTTTGTTTGCATCAGCACTACTCTTTCGAATCGCACTAGGTGTTTATGAGGTCTAAGACAATACATCACATTTTGATCTTTGTTGGTCACATACTTTCTATAACGTATGCCTAAAATTGTGGATGAACTCCTTATATTTGAGGGAATTCCCTATTCGAACTTTATATTTTTGAATTAAATTGACATGTTTTTGTTTATGTGTATTGCTTTATTTTTATACTTTGTTATAATGATTACGATCGTCGATGATTTGTATAACGTTTAGTGTGATTTTTCCTAAGTACCAAATGATGTGTGTTTTTGAATGATGTTCATTTTTATGTGTAATTATATACAATTTTTTTTTTAATCTGCGAATCTCTTAACTGTTATAGCATAATGTGAAAGCTTGATAGATGAGTGTTTGAGTGTAATTGGGATCTTGAAAACCATACTAGGTGCATGTTCAACGATAAACATTAATCAAAATACAAAAGAAAATCACTGTGACAAACCACATGCAGTAATCGTATATGTAACGAAAATATAGTCCCAATCATGTATGTTATTTGAAAGAAAATATAGATTGCTGTTAAATATTTCAACCTAATACTAATCTATTTTCTATTTTTTTGTCACCTTGTAATCGCTTTTTATGTGTATATTTTGTGTTATTAATGATGTACATGTATAATTGATGTAAGTACATTGGTTACACTGCAAGTGAATTGTTAATTGCGATTTTTTCCTAAGACGTATATTTTATTAATATAAAAATTAACAATGGAAATATGAAAACTTTCTTACCGATTAATTTTGTGTATACTTTCTTAATGGGAATATCACTCATTAATTGAAATCAAAGTATCAATAACTCGCCATCGTTAACCGGAACATATGAATGACAGGAAGGTAGAAACAAACCTGAAAGTCTGCCAAATATTTTGTTTTCGTAACGTAGTAGCTAATTGCTTTTGTTCTCATTTCTGTCCGAAATTATAGTTTTGTGCATTTAGAGGACAATGTATTTAACATTGACAGATGACTCTGTAAACGATTTTGGATACTTAACTAAGGCAAATGTCTCCCTTATACGGCATTAATAGATGTTTGTATTGTAACTGGGGTATGTCAATGCATAAGTTAAAAAGTACGTCAAGGTATATCTTCTCCATTGACTCCATCATGAAATATTTCTTCTCCTTACAGAAATGATCCATACACATATATTCATAAGATGCCCCGATGTATTCTACAGAATTATAGCTGTTAGAAACGAAAGTATTTGAAAAGAAATATCAATACAAATAAGCGAGTCTACGGGGATCACAATTTGGACTGTAAACTGCAAGTCGTGCAGTTAACCAAAATGGCAATGTTGCTCTATGTGAATAGTAAACAACAGCAGCGTGAGAGATGAATACCCTGACAAGGGAGGTAACTATGAAAGAGAGATATCTAGGTGTATGCCTTAACAAGGGAGTTTAATATAAGTTTGACAGAACTCTTTCTTTTTAGGCTTAAATAATACTGGGGAATCTAAGGTGTATGTTCAATATTAGAACCACTGTTTCAAAGACATGTTATGGACGACTTCAACTGAAACCATGATATTGTCTCATGCGTAAGAATCATTGACACGTGTAATTAAAACGATATCTTCAGAAACATGATGATTATATTTTGTGAAACTACTATCGAATCCGTTATGCAGTCAAACTTCAGTGCCACAATCCGTATCATAACGGATGAAAACTTTCGAAAAATATTTCCTACAAGTCGGTAATATGCGCGATTATATGACTAATGAATGAAGATTTATATAATATTGCAGAAAGAAGTCCTTTATTTTGTTGTCATCTGACTCTAAATGGAATAAATGAATGTCGTAATATCAAAACTTCCTTGTTGTATTTTATTGACACTACTTTTTATACGCCCGTCAAATTTGACGGGAGTATTATGGTATGGCCTTGTCCGTCCGTTCGTCCGGCGTAAACTTTTGTTTGTCCGGCAATCTCCTACATTTTTCGACCAATCTCTTTGAAACTTGGTATACATTATAATCATGATATGAAGTTACATGTATGTCTCCCTTAAAAGAATTTTGATTCGACAATTGTTCCAAAAGTTATTGCCCCTTTGTTCATTTCAGTATTTGATTTTTGTCCGGCAATCTCCTCCTACATTTTTCAACGGATCTTTTTGAAACTTGGAATACATTGTATTCATGATGTGAAGTTACATGTATGTCTCCCTTAAAAGAATGTTGATTCGACAATTTTTCAAAAGTTATTGCTCTTTGTTTATTTCAGTATTTGATTTTTGCCGGCAATCTCCTCCTACATTTTTCAACGGATCTCTTTGAAACTTCGTAGGCTAAATTTAAATCATGATGTGTTGTTGTGTTTCCTTGAAAAGAATTCTGATTCGACGATTTTTGCAAAAGTGATTGCCCTTTGTTCATTTCAGTATTTGTTTTTTTTATCCGGAGATTTTCTCCTACATTTTTATAGCGTGTCAGCTAACCACTCTTTGAATGATGCAGATCTTATTTCAATATAAGAAAGTATATAACTCTATATGGCATTCGACGGGCGTATATTGTTCGGCCCCGCGGTACTCTTGTTTGATAATATGATCTTAACTTAAGTGTTGCAAGAAATGAGATCGGTGTTTATGTTCTAGTTTCTACATGCGCATGCTTTAACAACAGTGGCGCATTTTGATTAGTGATTACAACAAATGATATCAAATTATTTTCATAATGTTAGAAAATCATTTCCACTATATTTTAGTGTTTTGACTCAAGAAATGCTGTGGAAGTGATTAGACTTTTAGTGTCGTGTGTGTGTGGCGTTTATACGGCATGGAGATTACACAAAAGCTATCAACCGAATCATCATTCGACTCTCTTAAACATTTATTTCTATTCCCACATGCTCGCTTTTACAAGAAAACAAGTTGAAATTTTGTATAACAGAATTTCAACTTGTTTTTTTCCTTGTTTTATATCGTATGTCAGTAAATATACTATCTAGTTTCTTTTCCATACAGAACATATACGCCGGGATCAGTACTTTGGTCGTTCTTTTATGTTAATCCAGTTGATGACGATACATATAAAAATATATTATTGTTGCAGTGATGTCATCCTTCTTGCATATCTTCGGCATTTTCAAGAATTCTTTAAAGCCTAAGGTCATATCGATATTTCTCCATTAGATACATGTATCTTCGATGATGGGTTTCTAAAGACGAATGGAATTATATTTGCATTCAATTAACGTCAAAGGGGTCAAATATGTGAGACATCCCAAAACTGTACCGATTCAAGGAGGTCTAGAGTAGAGATATCAGATGAGTAAGTATAGAAGATTTTACCTTGACCTTCAGTTAATGTATTAGGGAAATCATATAGGACCAGTTGGTAGTCGGGATAACAGGTGATCAAACAACAAGTGTGCATTGTCACCATAGACATAAGGTGAAACTGTATCTAATTAAAAATCACACAAAAGGGATATATGCATGAATGTTTAACAGAAACGCCAATGTATAAGAGGATATCCGGTTACATAAATTAACGGAGTAATACGATATATGTTTGTTTTTAATTTTATTTCATCATAATAAAAAATGCAATTACAGTATTAATTATTCCGACTAAATCTGTTGCAAAACTGTTATTAAGAATAAAGAGTTTACAAGTAGAATGTAATAAAGATATCACTATATACATTAGAGCGGAAAACGGAAAGTTAATATTTGGTAAAATACTGACATCAATACACTATTGTATTGTATCCAAGTGACATATCTGTTGTGCCCCTACTCCAAACGATTCATTGCTCTATATAGTATGTTGCAAACAGAAGAACCCGGACAAACAATGTTCTACCTTACATTCTAAAATAAGGACAGCTATGTGTGGTATAAATAACATCCCGTTTTGTGTGCATGTGCGTAGTTATATGTACAGTGTACGTGACGGATAGAAAAAATGAGCAAATAACAATCAAGGTCTGCTTTTTTCTGGGAAGTCCATTTTGCAAAAAGACACTGCAATCTGAAATTAAACATTAGACTTTCATAAATGTATTGTCAATGAAATATGCATTATAAAACAAAAACGGACATTTTGTTTGCATCCAATATAACACGTATTAACAATTACTGAAATATGTTCACATGGGTTTAAAGTTTAAATAATTGAATGTAAACAAATAGCGGTATTTAGTCTGGTTGAAAAATAAAAACTAGCTGCCTTTCATTCTAAAACTTAATATCCATAATTCTGAAAAAATCTTAGAATAGCAATTAACCACCTGTACGTCTCTCTTTTGACGCATACGTTCTAAATATGCATTTTTAAAGGTTCGGATATGCAAGATTAAGAAATGTATGTTTTGATAAGCAATTCCAGCATAAGTAACTCGGATTGAGCCATTGAAATTGCGACAGCGACTATCAAGTAAATACAGGTAACATCATTGACATATTTGCATCATACCTACCTCATCCACAAATGCCTTGACACCGGCCATTCCACTACATCCGCCGACTCTCAATGGCCCCGGACTGACCTTCAGGGTATCTGTAACACGTCAAGGTTGTTGAGGTATCGACAAGAAGTGAATGTTCAAAATATAAAATGTATTTTCGAAGCATCCTGTGCAATTAAGTTATTTTCGTGGGCCCAAATTTCGAGGTTTCCCCCGAAAAATATTTCGAGGGTACATACATTCGTTAATTACGACTTCCCACTTATACAGAAAATCTCCCCAAGTCCAACTTGTAATTACTTTGTGAACTTATAAGCCATGGACGAAGAGATAACATTAAAATCCCTACGAAAATAAGTCATTTTACAGTGCTTTATATTGTTTTATCAGCACAATAAGAAACCAAATGAAACATTTCAAATGATCATTAATGATATGTTTGTTCATATTTGTTTTATTTCTGAAAATAATGGCATAAACCTGTTCGAGAGCACGTTGTGTGATGAATACTACTTACATATTGTATTCGTAGTTTATGGGTAATTAATCAAATATCAATAAGGACTAGATCATTAATAGTTATAATGCTAACATATTGTACAACTGACGACACTTGTATCATTAACAAAGGTAAACATATTGTCTTAAAGTCATATGATCGAACGTAATAAACTCTTTGAAAGAAAACATTGAAATATGCAAACGAAACATTTCTTAAACATACAACCGCAGTTGGTAAATAAGATAAACTTCTTGATAAATATAATATGACAATGTGCTTGATACAATTATGACAATGTGCTTGATACAATGTTTGCCTAAGTAATTAATACTTTGTTATAAAAATATTTGTGACGTAAATTTTCCGGAATGTTGTAGACATTATTAATTGACTTTCCCTGAAGGTTTATATGCATGACTCAAAACAATTAACAGCATCTTGAAAATCAAATATATAAATATATACACCTTAAAATTAATGATGTTTAAACCTGAAATATGGAGACCTGTTCTTCTCAGAGAGGAAATTCTGAAACTCATCACCATAGAAATATACAATGGTAACGTAATCATAATGTATCTTTGGCAAAATTCTCTCGGGATACTGTTAATATCTTTAGGTAAAAACTTACTTGTAAATGGACGTTTTTGGACCTCCTCAACGACATCATTTGTAACTGGATCAACGTATTGTAGCATTGCCTGTAGATATGTTCCGCTGAATATAAACAAAACATTGGTCCAAACCTTCTCCTGGACGTAAAAAGAAAAGAAAATGGACATTATGAAGTTTTGCATGTAATCTAAATATAATGGGGGACGAAGATATACAAACAAATGCAGACTCTTGCGCAAACCCCTCATGAGAAAAAAGAGGTTATTTTTCTGGCATATTTGATGATAAATACAACAGAAAACGTATCATTAAACTAATTTGTCGGGAAAGTGTGTCCTGTAAAAATGAAGCTGCACCTTTTATCGTATTATGATGATATTGTGAAAGTGAAGTATGTCGTCTGCTTAAACATGTAGACATTAGCCCCCATGGTGCTATATTACTACCTTCGGCTACACGAGGAATGTAGGCAAAGACAGCAAACGCTATCAACAGGTTTCATGTTATTATTCTACCGCAATTAATAGTCTTCATACACAAACAGCTTTCACCGTATTTACAAAAATATGTTATATTCAAGATTGAAGTTTTTTTCTTAACATCCGATTAACCTAATGAATCATCGAAAGGCTTCTAAGCCATCACCTTCGATACTTTCATCAACAAGAAAATATCGCTAAACCTTAGCTTAAAATTTGGGGTTTTAAAATTGCTCATGACCTAGCAACATGTCCTTGAAAACATCGGATGAGTTATATGGTACATAGGTTCAGTTGCATAATAGGATGTGGACATTGTATAAATATGTATTTATTAAACAAGAAATATCACTTTATGTTCCGCATATTTGCATACTGTATGTTTAATGGATGAATAATAGTTTAGGTAAGACCACAAACTGTGTTTAATGCATTGTAATTCTAACAAGTAAAGTATAATTTTGTGCATGAAAACATTTTGTAAAATTTGGATTTTGTCACTTCTTGAAGTAAAAGAGGCACAGGTCGCTAACTTATTTCTAAAAGGTCTCACTGTACCTCATGTCTTCAATAAATCTTACAAAATAAATATTAAATATTTTCACCTATGTCAAGAATTCAAAATTATACATTGAAATTATGCGTGGAAATTGTTTTATTTCAAGTTCGTGCAAATATTTTCACCTTATGTGTTATTTGTGGAATTTATTTGTAGTTTATTAATTTTTAGCAGCTCTGTCACTTGGACATAACATCTCAACTGAAATAGATAATAATGAGCGTGAAGCGTTATTTACACCATATGCAAAACAAAATATTGTCTATCTGAAAAATAGTTTTTCCATCAGAAAATGACGATTAAGCATAACAAGTTGAATAGACGTTTATAATAAGACCCTTCATGTAAGCTATTTATAGTAATATACTTTATTTATTGAAGATTTATATCTGATTTAGCCAAATTTTAATATCCCTCAGGGTCCTCAAGTTTAGTAAAATATGTTAATTTGTATAGTAATATATATCAAACATAAATGACACTTAAAATAAAATTATGAAACTGCTGATAGTATTACATGCATTGGTTAAGTACAATACATAAAAAATCACAGAATCAAACTCATCCAAACATAATTTAACACATACAATAATACGTCACACGTGCCTACCTTATATGGTAACACTAGTTCTGTCCAGCCACCGTCTTCACTTCTAGCTCTGTATCGCATCGTCCTCTGTAAGGGATCAAGCTTAATTTCAAGTGACGACATTTGTTCGTCAGTTCGATTACAGTTTGATAGCAGAGTTTGTATGTCTGGAGTCTTGGGCTGCAATACGTAGAGACGTATTTGGAATCCGAATTTCCTTGATAGATTATCGTTTCCAGTGTAAAACGGCACATTTATTTGGGAATCACCTTTGAATAGTCCAAAACCACGTAGAATGTCAAGATTTTCATGGCCGATAAATATGGACGTAGCTCGATTTTCTATTTTTCCATCAGATTTCCCAAATGAGATAAGGACTTCCAGCTTGCACGCTAATGATTGAAAATACAACAAAATATCAACAGAATATTAAATAGAACTGACACTATAGCTTTATAACATATTATGGTCAAAAATAGAGTACTTAACATTACCAGGCGTTATTAACAATGTATATTTATTTCTTGTTTTCGGGTTTTCGATTGATGTGTACGATAAATATGGTATAGTAAGGTTAAGACTTGTATTGTATTAATTGAAAATATAATGTGACTATGTGTATGTATATTTTTAATATCATTGCAATTGACTTATTTGGTCATTGATATATTATTTGGTAAATCGTATACATTAATGGCCGACTTGAAATGAAACACTGATGTGCTTCTGCTTAAGCACCTTTGTTGACACACGCATGCAACTTACTTGGCTTGTATCTAGAATCAACACAACCACAAGACGACTCGCTGAATTTTGTTCCTTCAGGACACATAAGTGGTTCGTTCTCCCTGTCAATATGGTAAAACCCACGTCCATTGTGACGAATCATGCGGAGCCTACATCCAGCCACAGCTGCCAACATAAGAATATTCATTTTATGATATGTTTATATAGTATTCATCAAAATTCACTTTGATGATAAAACCGTTATACATCAATGCAGCACCAGTGATCATATAATAGCCAATAGATATTAAAGTCCTGAGTGCGTAAATCAAGTTTAAAACCATGCTGACACCGCGATAATATTACTATCAAACTCTTGCATTACAAACAGTATCTCTTTTTTATTAAAATGTATGCTAGTTAAAGCGGCGGCTCATATTTTTTCATTATTTACTATTACATAATCTAATCAGACGGAAATGGGTGGTATTACTAACTCAAAATGATGTATGTCTGTAAAGTATTAACAATGACATTATTAGGAAAACATCCCAAAGTTTACAGCTTATCCACATCAAGTAGATAAAATATCATTTGATACACTTGACAGAAGTAAAACAACATTTATATACGGATACACAAACTATTCTCCTGTGTCACTGTAATCATAATGGTCTGTTTCCTATTTAGTCGGTGTCGTTAATACTTGGTGATCTTATTGCTGTTCTTGACTTGATGGAATACACGTGTTTGTTAATATGGGTGTCCATGTCCTCAAAATGCTTAGATCGTATGAAGACGAGTTCCTGACACGAAACATGGTCAAAAGAAATAGAAGATAAGCAAGGAAAGACAAAACATAGATACAAACTGTTTGAATGGGGACAGGGGACCAGATTTGGCCCACCTTTGAGTATCCTAAGCTGAAAACACCCAATACCGAATTGGTCCCTGCTGAGTCGCCGTTTACGACAACATACGTTGGGATATATCAGACTATCATTTCAGGTGGAATGTGAGGTACCGTTTACTTGAACCGAATCACTTATTCCATCGTCTGGCCTTTTGTGAATGTTCACGAAGTCGTTCATTAAACATGTTGTCTCTTGTTTTCTCTGTGTGATATTTTTGTTTTGCTTTCGAATTCCGAAATTCCCTTTGTATGATTGCGATATTTTTTTTAACTATCTGTACGTTGAGAGCGTGTTCCATGCTGTAGAAGCCTCGCTATAAGCCGGCTCATATAAAGGACTCACACAACTAAATCAGCCAAAAGCAAGTGTTTCATACGTTTGTAGTTCCTATCTAAAATAAGTTCCGGCTAATTACTGGCCACTGAAGGAGTTTAATAAGGAACAGATGACAGATTTTTAGATAAATGAAATGTTCAGATGTTTAACTTTTGAAAAATGTATACTTTTGATATATATCCATGTCTGTGTGCGGATTTGCAAAGGGGCAAACTGTCTGGGGGCGTTTCTGTTATTGGTCACCGGTTTTACTTGTAAACTTCCGGTTGTCACTTACCTGGCGATGAGACACTCCAATATGGCACTAAACCTACCAAAAAAGTCATTTTGTAGCCTTTGCAAGGTATGTATTTATGAATCTAGACAGTTGTTACTGGTTTTGAACTTCAAATATTAAAGTTATTTGCTAAAATGTTTTGTAATAACATATAGTTAATGATTTAGTTGTGTGAGTCCTAAAACACTTAGGTACGGTACATAACGCAAGGTTTTCTAAAATCGCTGTCTGTTTCTCTTCAACACAAACTTGGTAGTACTTACTCTCAGGACGGGAGGTAGTCGGGGCGTGAACAATAGCCCGTGTTGTTTCTCGTTGTTGCTGTTGCTGTTCTTTATTGTCATCAGTGTTGCTTACTTCCGATGGTCCCACTTCGCACTTTTCCGTGCATGAGTCGGAACGAACGCATGCATTTAGGCCTTCGTCATAACCCATTCCTTCTTCGCAGCAGAAAGGTGAGGATTTACCTTCTACGCATCGCCAGAAATGTTTGCAGTGGCCATCCCCATCAATATAAGATTTCAAAGATGGTTCCTTAACACATGGGTCTAAAATGATATCAGTGGATTAGACACATGCATGCGTGTTTTTGACTTTTTTAATTAAATTCGAAAATAAATGACACAAAATGAAATTCAATTGTTTAACATATAAGGATTGTATAAAACCATATAGATAGGAAGATACACCCAAAATATGAATTTAAAATTTAAAATAATTTAGCAAATTCAATGGGAAAATGATCGTATATTAATATCGTATTAACAAATGATAAATCATTTATATTTTTCATAATATAATGACAAACCGTTATCAACCATAATACGCTTGGTCGTAAGATGTATTCAACAACTACCTGCAGCACATGCAACTTCGGCAGAAAACGTGCATAGGTCCCTCTCTTGATCGAAAAATGTCCCAAATGCACATCGCCGCAAATTTGAAATTCCATTTACACAAAATATAAACATCTTGCAGTCCTTTTCATATTTTAGAAAGCAAACAGGTTCCGAGGACTCACATTGACACTGCTGGCTCTCTGAGCCTGAAAATGAAATAGAGTCAATAGGTGAAAAACATATCGCTTTGAACGATTTTTGTATATTTATGACCTTTTCCTCCTTCCAGGACCGTACGTTTAGTTATGCTGATGAATTATCGGAAAATGTCATTTTCACAATATTTTCGATCAAGTCACTTGATTATTACAGACAAATTGAATTTTATTCGTAATATGAACGTGGTTTGTTTAAGATGAAAATTGATTCTATAATATTTTAAATTAATTTGACAAAAGTGATTTGCGAGGCACTATTCAACCATCATTCCGTAATTTATCACAGGTTTTAGAAAAGCGAGAGTTTACATTTTGCCAGTATTTTGTATTTAATGATCGTATGTTAGACGGCCTTGTAATTAATTATCTACACAAGGTCCATTTAACAAACAAACGATTCGCAATAATCATAGTGAATAAACATAAAAATGGGAGACGAAAACAAAAGTTGCACTGTTAATGCACTCGCCCGTGTTTACGAAACAAGAATATTGCACTTTTTAAAATATGTTTCGAAGAAAACAGTTTGTCGTTGCCAATACATTGATTCATAAATCAAACGGAAAAGTGAAAATATGATTCAACTACTAATTATGATACACGACCATAATTTTACATATGTCTATTCGACATTTAAAATGATTCCTGGTTTTTAAAAAACTGAATATTATTTCAGGTATTCTTCTCCACAAAAACAAAATTTATATCGATGCCAAACACGGGTTCATGAATATGGAACACATAACCATATACTCCAAAGGTACAATGCTATGTTACAATAGCCATCATTGGTTTCATCGTCTATATTGACCAGCTCCATTTTGGCAGAAGGTTTGTATATATTTCCTAAACTGGCAGAAACATGATGGTGTGATTCTCATTCAAATGAAAACGGACTGACCCTGATAATAGTTTGATTGAGGGGGAAAACGGTTATTAAGAACAACAAAGACAGAAACACAGCGTTAACACAGCGTATTGTCATTTGTGGTTTTGTTCTTACAAGACAAATTGTTCGATATCATAATGAAATTAACACAATATCTTACCTTTTATAGACAGAAGCACAATAAGTGGTAGTAACACCCACATCGTAATGGCGTCACGTCTTGTTGGTCTGTTTCTGGCTCGAATAGTAACTGACGCTCAAATGCTAAGATGTTCTGAAATATAATACGAAAGTAGATGAATGCAATAGGAAGCAAGGGTTGAGGTAAATAAGATACAGGTTTGTGATGAATAAAATCGGTGTTTGTGACAAATGAGAGGACGTGTACGTTTATTAACCTTTGACCTTGCACATGTTTATGTCTAATGGTTAATACACTCTGCCCAAATTGTTTACGGCTAGCTGGCGCCAATAGGAAGACAATATACAAATGCATGTATTACATCATACATTATATTGATCTGCTGATCTTGCATATTTCTCTTTTATAAGTTAGTGTAGAATATATTTATTTACCTAAAACACATTATCGAGTTACCATTTTTCTATATCTCTTCTCGAACTATTGCAACAGATATTATTAATGCATCACTTCTTTTTGTGTCTGTTCGTTATTTTGTTCTATGACATACTTCCTACGACGTTGAATCTGCCTCAAAACTACGTAAGGTAATTCGGAGGACAGTTGAAACATATTAACTATCGTAAAATGTCTTATATGTATAGAATACAAATAGGATTTATTCTTGAATAATAAATGTTACTAGAAAATGAATGATAGACATTTTAAAATGTTGTTAGTTACTGCATAATATAATAGCCACGTTTATACACATACTGTACTACCTTGTTTGTATATTACATATGTATATCACTAACCGAGTTTAAACACTGTGACTGACGTCTTACAACGACAGACTGTTGAGTCCATATATACTGTAAAATAAGAAAAACACCCACACGTAGCTGTTTTGCAAGATCGAATATACGATTAAACCTAAAAAACAATTGATACTATCTTGGTTATGCACTTCTGATGTAAATGTAATGCATAATTCACATTCTTAAGTTATTTTGTATATGTAGTTTAATAAAATTTCCTTATCACAAAGGGTTACAGTCGTTTATAATTATATATCTTAGAGGTGTGGACAAGAACCAGTTTTGCTAAATTTCTACCATTGTTTAATAGATTCCCAATTAGGTGCCATTTAAATCCTCTATAATGAGCATGTTTATAATTTAGGCTTCGGTTATGGGATTAAAAGTCATTATAAAAATTTCAGACATAACTTACATGCCAAGTGTGTGTGTGAGTGTGTGTGTGTGGGTGGGTGTAAAGCTGGATTGTTGCATTATCATAACATCTTGTTGGTGTGTATGTCATCAAAATATAACACCTGTTGGTGTGTATGTCATCAAAATACAACACTTGTTGGTTTGTATGTCATCAAAATACAACACTTGTTGGTGTGAATGTCATCAAAATACAACACTTGTTGGTGTGTATGGCATCAAAATACAACACTTTTGAAATGAGAAAATACTGCATTATTATTCTCTGATGTTAGCATATCTCGTATTCGTCTATTTGGACAAGGAATCACCATTTCAATATGTCAAATTACACCTTATTAATTAATCATATATAAGTGTTAGAAACAGGTGGTCTCGGGAAGGAGACTACTTCATGGAGGGACACGAGATACATAGTTTTACTTACCCAATCCTGTTTGAATAAAGAATAACGGAATGATCACCTAAGGTATTCCTTCGCAAAACTAACGGACATGTACAAAACTTTAAATAATTTGATACTCCATATATGTATATATGTTGGTATCATGTTTTACAAATTATGATTAGTTGAATTTACAGGAGCAAACAGCATATTACTTTTTTCAAATAACTCATTTGTAGCATTGTTATTACAAGTCCATTTGAAATGTTGCAGTTTGCATAATATGGACTTCATTTAGGTTTGGTGAGGGAACAATGCGTCTCAGTATGGACTTTGTTTAATATATATTCCTGCCAAACATCAATCGTGTGTGTAAAACCTTCTCGAAAGATGACAACCACTTGTCCATATGTTATATATAATCATATATATATATAAAAGTTATGATCAAACGCTACAAAACTGAATCCCGTTTAGAAGTTTATAACCAAAAGCAACATTATGAATTATACATATAAACATGTTTTATTTTTAAAACGTTCCATGGCAATTATTTGCTCTCTCTCATATAGTCTTATTAATTGTCTTGACAACTCTGTGCAGCGTGTACATTGGTTGCCTACGTCTGTAAAGCGAATTATTTCCTTTATCGGTTTGTTACTATATTAACTGAAAGGAATTTTTATTCAAGCTGGAAATAACAAATAGAAATTATAAACAGGATAAAGTCAATACTAAGAAAGTCAGCCATCTTTACAAGTACCTAGTACTTTGACGTTACCATATTTTGTATTTGAAGATATTTTTAATTTCATTTGGAATAACAAAATAACGGCATCACCAACATATTTTGAAAGCGCATTATTATAAACCCGCTCAGTAATGGAATGCATGCGCACGTCATTATTGCGCGCGTCATTAATGTTTTGACAATGATAATGCGTTGTAAGTAAAACGACTTTCATGTGTTTTCAACGAATTCCTAACCATGACAATCTTAGATCATTTACAAAATGTATATGCGAATGTTTTGCGGTCGTTAAATTTTAAAGTCATATCCAGTATTCTAAAAATGTTCATCATCTTAAAATCCTTGTTAACAGTACGTACAGTAGTTTTCCAAAAGTAAAAATTAGATGTGCAAATAATAAAAATAATAAACATAAAACGACTAAATAATGTGCTGTTTTAAAACATTCTAAAGCCGTAAAAAAGAAAAACGCGTTTTACAGACAAACTTGACAGGTCAATTAATTATATGCCTTAGATTTAATGTATTCTGGTTGTTTGTTGACGGGAAATGTCTATCAAAATATACATTAATTCGTGTAAACATACATGTCGCAGTTAAAATGTTACTGTGTTGTCTATAAGTACGGTTGTTGTCTATATTGTACAAACACCTATATGTTACATTGTTTTGTCATTTTCTCAATTTGTTTATGTACTTGTTTTATAGTAAAAAGCGACTAGGGAGGATGGGAGGGAGGTTGGTAGATAGGTATCTGTTTGCCCTTTTCTCTGTCTCTTTTGTCTCTCTTTGTTAAAATTTTTCTCCGGTGAATTTTAATCATTGTGTGATGCACACTATAGCCTGTTGTAACCAGTGCTTGAAGCACATTGTAACAAAAAGAAACCATGATGCTCTTTTTATACCTGGGTCAAGTTGCCATAACATAAACATGTTGTATCTGTTTAACACCTGTGACTGTCCGTTCACAGTGACCCTTGTAATTCCCAATGTATATTTGCATGCCTAGAGTCACGACTCCTGACAATGCTGATTGCTACATGTAAAACATTCAACAAATCGTAAGAAAATGGACGACAACGTAAGTACGTAATGTCATGTCAGGACACAGTTCCCATAGCTGTTAGCACGACTGTTTACCACAAATAAAACAATAAATGTTTTGTCATCTTAGTCAAAGTCTCAACATAATGACAAGAGTCAAGAAACACTTCTTAACATGCAAAACATATTAATTACGGAACACTCCGACACGCCTAGTATAATACGTAGCAATAAACACTCATTAAAGAAAGAAATAAAGACATCTTAATATGCAGTAGTTAGAATATCATCATGTAAATTTACGTTAGCTTGTCGTTAAGCTTACCATGCTTGATTTCAAATGGCCCTTAAACATACACATAAATAATTCTAATGAGAAGGTATGTAAGTTAACAAGTTATTAATATAAGCTTACTTAAAAAATCTGATTTAAAATTCATTGACCATTAGAGTCGAGACCGTGAGCAATATAAATTCATCAGTTACATTTTTTTACCTTTCATGTCAATCGTAAGTGTGTCACTTGTCATCTGACCTGGATGATACCCAACCAAAGTCAACGCCTTACTATAAAACAAGCGAGGCAGATGTTGACTGTTCCTAATTACCGTAACAAAATATGGAAATTTGACATAAGTGGTCCTTGTATTTAATTCTAAATATGAAATATAGTGATTGCAACAACTATCCATGAGAACTACTAAATACATTGGGGAAATGAATGAAATAAGTGAAACCGAATAATACAACCATTCCGAAAATAACACAAAAAGAAAGAAACAATCAAATGATATATGCTGTCACTGTACTGTACCGGTTAAAATACTATAAAATAAATGTTTCTTCTGCTTTCGTTCTTATTACTTAGGAATACATCTAAAAGGATTTAGGTTAGGAATCGTTTTTATATTTAAATCTCGATTGATTTCTTTTTAATTTAGCAATACATTTGTTCCAAAATATTTTGTTTCTAAAACTGTTTTAAATTATTTGTATAAAAAGGATGACAACTGTCATGACTGCCCCTTCTGTTTTACGGAGTCCAACGGTTTTGCCTCTAGTATCACCAATGAATCCTATAAGGACGAAGCAGTGTAAGTCCTTTTGACATGAGGAATCTATTACAAAATTTAAAAGGTGCTATCACCTGTTTGTGTAAACATTCATCTTTTAAGTTTCACGAACATATTTTTCTCCTCTTACATGTAACCGATCCTGTCGCACTGAACCAAAATATAGAATACATTATACACAAATAAATGTGCTTGCTTGATTAAGGTGGGTCCATTCTTATCAAATTTAGCGCCACTGCGCAGGAAATGGCAGTGTAAACAACTTCAAGTGATACGAAAGAGCGTCTGAAGACTGCAACTGAAAATCAATGTCTCGAGTTATCGTCAATGTCCTCAAGGACCAATACCGAACCGAACCATTCAGACACGAGCAGACGAGTTTCAGTCACTTTCTACAATGAGTTAAATATATACTGTCATATTCAAAACAGTGTACAGGCGTTTGTGTAATTGTCAGATTGTTAACTTTCTTATTATACTCTCAGCAAACCCCTGACTAAATATTTTTTTCGTGTAGGACATATGTGCGTGTCTCTCAGACTCTGTAGGTTTTATTAATTTTTTTTTGGGGGGGGGGGGGGGGGGGGCTTTGTTATGATATGCCTGTAAACAAGCACGAGTTGTGATATGCAGTTATGTGCGCCGTAAGGCAGTGATATGGTGAT